CATCCATCATCCTTCCATCACCCACTTATCCATCCGTCCGCTCAACAAGTTTTCGCTGACCCAGGCCCTGCTCTTGCCCTGGACTCCTGCCCACTGCAGACCTGCCCTCCCAAGGCTTATGCTGACTTAGGCCAGGCAGCAGGGCAGTGGACAGGCTGGAGGAGTTGGCACCAGTGCAGGGAGGAGTGCTGGCTCAAGCACTTGCTGTTTCCAGGTGGGCGTGTGGTTTCCTGGTTATTTGTGTGTCTGTCCTTGACCTTCAGCCCAGTCAGCAGTCCTGTCACCGCGCCATCTACTGAGCATGTTCCCTGTGAGACTAGCACACGTGCGCTCACGGCCCCGCCCACACACCGAGAAAGCACCTTTATTTATCCCCATTTCACAGATGAGGAAACCAAAGGCGAGGCCGCTGTTCCACAGTTACCTGAGGAACAGTGCGGAGCTGGGACTCAAAATTTCATTTCAAGCCTGTTCTGCCCCCAGGAGCAGCAGCAGCTCCTGGCTGCATCCTGGCTGCGTCCTGGCTGCCTGGGGTGGGCTGGGACGAGCCTGGCTCAGGGCACAGGGAAGGTGGTTGGCAGAGACGACTTTGGACAGCTTCTGCAGAGAGCCTCGGGCCCAATTCCTGGCTCCTGAGTCTTTAAAGTCACGCCTAACTGTTCTTTCTGTTTTCTTTTAAGTCCTCAGCACTTCTTGTGCTTGTGCACAGAAAGCCCCCTGTCACTTGCCTCTCAGATAAGGGCAGGGGTGCAAGGGACAGGGGTGCAAGGGACCTGGGCCAGGGTCATGACCATTTTGGGAAAGATAGTAAATATTTTTATCTTTACAGACCAGATGTTCTATCCACTTACTCAGCTTGGCCCTTGCAGGGGAAGCAGCCAGAGGCAATATGTATTAAAGGGGCACCAATAAAATTTATTTAGGAGCCTGACGTGTGAAATTCATATAACTTTCACATGTCACAAAATATCATTCTTTTGGTTTTTTCCAACCTTTAAAAGCTGTTTAAACCATTCTTCGCTTGAGGCACACAAAACAGGCAGGGCCAAGAGTTCGCCGCACCTGGAACGCGGGAAGGGGAGTCAGGCCTCCACAGGAATGAAGCCAGGCCGGGAGGTGCCCCCTTCTTGGGTCTGTCTCTGGGCAGTCACAGGGCAAGACCACATCTTTCTGAGAAGCGAGGCAGATGTGGGGGGAGGAAGCAGGAGACGGAGGCCCTTCAGTTTCCCCTTGCATGGATCGGGCCCTCTCTGAGCCCTCCTCCCACAAAGCAGTGGGAGTGTGAGGGTGGGAAGGGAGCACCCTGAGATCAGAGGCCAGAAGGAAGTGGGGAGGGTCTCCTGTGGGGAGGGAGCTGGGCACCAGTTTCAGGCGGGAGTCCACCGAGATGTGAAGATGGTAGTCACGGAGCCAGCGACCAGGTGGGAGCTGAACTGGGAAAGCCACGGAGAAGGCGCCGGCTCCTGCCCAGAGGGACAGTGGCAGGGCCAGGTGGGGTGTCGGGCAGCAGACACGGCACGTGAGCCCACCCTGCCAACATTGGGAGCACCCACTCTGCGAGGACACGGCAGCAAATAGAGCCAAGTCCCCTTGCACGGAGCTTCCGTTTCCGTGAGGAAGGAACACCGTGGACAGATAGAGACGAACTGTCCAGACGTGGAGGAGCATGAAGGAGAGGCGTGAAGCGAGTCGTCACAAAGGGGTGAGGGTGCGCTTCCGAGCAGGGGGCGGGGGCACAGCCTCCAGGAGCAGGTGGCTTGTGGCCGAGGCCCCAGGGAGGGCGGGGAGGGAGCTGTCCCGCGAGGGGAGCAGCCCTGCCGAGCTGTGGGTAAGCCCACGGGCACTCGAATGTGGGAGCGGGCACAG